AAGGAAGAATTAATGTCCCCCATACTTGCACAACAGTTTTTATCAATTTGTCTTTAACTTAAATGTGTTTTTCCACTATAATTGAGGCTAAAAATAAAACGACTTCTTCATAAATATATATAAAATACTATAAATCTCCATCACGCGAGAAATGGGATTGTTTACAGCACTTTCCGCTTCTCCCACACATTTTGACTACGCGTATTATGACCTAAGCCACAATTCATTAATGGCAATTTTTAGTGGCAAAACTTGTTACAAGAAATTAATTTTAAAGTGAACACATTTTTTCGTTAAATGTTCTAAAAGCCTGGGTTCAATAAGGCGATCAGAAAAAAAAAATGACGGACTTGCTTTTAAAAGAGATATTGCCCCGGCTGTAAACCTTTTAAAATCGGTAGAAACCACCTGCTTGGATTGTTAAGATTTGTGTTTATTAACGAATTTTCTAAAATACAGCTAACTGGTGTTAACAAAAATGTTGTTGTTAAGACAAATTGATACAAGCCATTGTGCAAAAGCTGGAGACTTTATGTTTGATAGTTTAGGAATTATTTGACAATAAGTGGCGCCCCCAATTTTTTTCACCGCGCTATAGAGAATCGAACTTGCATTTGTTTCATGCAAGCGCAAGAGCCTAACCATGTACCACAGACGTCGATAAAGGCAGCCTATATCAACTGGCATCGTGCTCGTATGTCTATAATACTTGTACATAGGAGATAGAAATGAGGGTCTTATGAGACATTTCCGGTTTTAATCCCTTTCTATTGTCGTCTGTTTTCAATCGTTGGTGGGTCGCAATGCAAATATTAAATTGAACAGCAAAATCGATAGAAACTTGAGCAACGAAGCAGACAATTGAACCATAATAATTATATTGTATATATGCGCGTTGGGGCACAAGGAGATCTGATTCTGTATGCGATAAAGGAAAAATCAAATATAGCAATTTTGCACAAGCTGTCATATTTGTTCGGTTTTGTTGAATAGTACCTTCCTATTAGGCACAGAAGTCAAACTTCGATGCTGTACCGTTTGGTGTATCGACAGAGAACGAAGAAGAGGAAGAAGAAAAAGCAGAAGCAGAAGAAGCAGAAGAAGCAGAAGAAGAAGAAAAAGAAGAAGAAGAAGAAGAAGAAAAAGAAGAAGAAGAAGAAAAAGAAGAAGAAGAAGAAGAAGAAGAAGAAGAAGAAGAAGAAGAAGAAGAAGAAGACTATTCCTGTTATTCACAATAACTCATTTATCCGGCTCGTTTATTCCAAAACAGCATTTAATATTGGTTCCCCGGACAACATAGAACGTTAAGTCTACACTGCTCTGAATTACTTTAATTCACATAACATATTTCTTGGAGGACGGGCAAAAGTCAGGGCTCCGTTCGGAGTCGAACTAACTGAGTTAATATGTCGGCTAGACACGCATCAACTGTGCCTCATCAGTCACCTTGAGATGAAGGAAGGTCAGACAAATCTCAACGACTCAAGGGAGAGCAAATGGTGAGTGAATGATGAAGGAAAAACCCCCACAACCGAACAATAAATGAACCAGGGAGAAATTATTGTTCAAAGCTCAAGCCCAGATAAATGCGAGTGCACGAAAACTAGAACAAAGTGAGGACAGAACGAAACAAAATTATGTCAAGTGCCATTACAGTGAAATGAGAAAAAATGCTTACAATAGAACACAGAAGAAAAAAAATCAAGATACACTCCCCCGCAAAAAACCTCCACAAAAAAACCCAACTTATTCAATATGGATCTGAATCATACGAGACACCAATCCCACACCAGTTTTGAATCCGGCACAGTTTCTGCACCTTTTAATTAAGCAACGTTTGTAGCAGTTCAGCGGTATGAAACGTTTTCCTCTTCTCGCCCCAAGGACTTTGACAATTAAATCAACCCCCCACCAAAGCGCACGCTCGTGGGAGTGAAAGTAGTTTTGGAAATGCACGCATGCACAGTCTTCACAAGCGAGCGATGCCGAGCAACGCACCATTGAAACTTTTTCGATCTTCGATTCATCTTGAAATCTTTTACATGTATCACTGATCTCTTCTTTATCCTCTTTATCCCTCTCCTTCTGCCTCTCCTCTGCCTCCTATTTACATCCCCTCCTTCCCTCTCTTCCTCTCCTCTTCCTCGTTCTCCTCTTCGTCGCCGGCGTCGTTGTCGTTGTCGTTGTCCTCCTCCTCCTCTTCCTCCTCTTCCTCCTCCTCCTCCTCCTCCTCCTCCTCCTTCTCCTCTTCTTCTTCTTCTTCTTCATCTTCTTCTTCTTCTCCTTCTCCTTCTTCTTCTTCTCCTTCTTCTTCTTCTTCTTCTTCTTTTTCTTCTTCTTCTTCTTCTTCTTCTT